TGGACAGCTGAGTAGTGCTGCGTGCAGAGAAGCAACCTTTGAAAAAGCACTTTTTTCCTGCTTTTTTAACTGCAGCTGTGCCTCGCACGGCAGCTGAAGTTGAAAATCAGGAAATAAAGGTGAGGTAAGAGCCCAGGTGAGTAGGTGGGCAAAAACATCAGCAGACATAGAACCGGTTTTATGTTTGATGCTCTTCAGAGCTACCGGTTCTACAGAGGTGGACAGAACTGGTAGAAACCCACCCCTGGTTTTATGATATAAAATACACATGTATTTTACAGCAGTTTTTGACATTCCAGAATGTCTGTTGGAAACATTGTTTGGTGAAAGTTGGCCACCTCCAGCCCACATTACCTTTTATATTCTTATTGCTTTCTCCCTCCCCTCCTTTAGGAATGAACTGAGACGACAAATGAACAAGGGAGTTGTTCAATTTAATCCAATTACTTCAATTTACTTCCATTTAATCCAATTTATTCTAGAAACAATCCAGCTTGACAATTTCTGGTTTTACAGCAAGACATGGAAAATCAGAGCTCCATAGGCAAAACACTTTTATTTTTCATTAAACTTTAATTGAATTTTCAGGCTGAATCATACTGAATTTCTCAGAAATTAAACAAAGATGTTTCATCTCAGATTGTATAGCTGTCTGGGAACAGAATATGATAAAATATGCTTTAAAAATATTTAGTATCATCTTAGAATGTATATTTTTAAAGTTAGGTTGGAAGGCTTCAAACTCTTATGGTTCCAAAGACTCCTTTGGAAAGAAGCTGTTTTTTGTTCATGATATCCCTTGAGATTTTCTGCATCCTTAAAAGTGCTTGATTATGTTGTAAAGATTCATCTTTATTAATAGGTGAAGGAGCTGCTTTGCTGTTGAATAAAAGCTCTGAGAAGGAAGTTGTTTTAACAAAAGGTTCTTTGGAAATTTTTTACTTTTCAATGAACAATGCGATAACTTGGCTTCTACCTGAAGGTCTGGTTTAAAGAGCTATTCACCTGTGCATGAGTTGGCCAAAAACTTCTTTGACATACTACTTGCTGCCCCTATCAGTAAATTTCCACAGCTTTCTTTACTGATTTTCAGCAAATATTACAAAGGAAAACATTTCCTAGTTGCTCTCCTTAAGGTATGATGGAACTCAAGAAAAGATAAGTTTTGACAGATGGCTAGATTGGTTGGTTTAGCTCTTTGTCAAAGGTTATGCCACCCCTGGTAAAAGTGTTGAGGTGGAGAACTTCAGACAGAGGTATAGATAATGTGAAATAAACCAGAGTAATGAATCCATGAAAAACATTAACACCAAAGATTTAAAGGTTTAGCAGGCCAGGCCTAGTTAGTACTTGGATGAGAGACCATTAGCCAAAAATGTTTTGAAAAAGACCATGACAGACCAGTTCCATATTGTTACTAACAGAATAATATGGGCATTGAATGCTATAAAAATGAGAATTTAAAGAACTGAGAATAAGAGCTATTTATTTATCTGTTTCTCACATTTTGAACCACTCATCTGTCTCAGAGGGGGAGACCATTGACAATATAATAAATAGTTGTAAAAAAAATTGTCTGGGCAGATGATAAAACAAGACAATGTTGAATAGGAAAAAATACATTGGAATTTTAAAAAGTATGGATTTCATGTGCAAAAGTATTGGTATGATCATGTATTTAAAAAAAGGCTCCAAAATACCATGTAAAAAAATTAATGGAACATCTAGAATGCAACATGCCAAACATTATATTTAAAAACACATATAGTATACATGTGGCAATACCAAGTGACAAAGCATCTGAAAAGAAACTGGGAAAATTATAATCTCAGCATTTATCAATTGACAACAGAAATTATAAAATAATCTTCAGTGTCTGGAACATTCAACAAAATGGCAGAGCATTCACTATGGATTAACAGTTGAGTTCAAAAAGAATGGGACTTTTAGGGTTTATAGAGACCCAATAGAAGAAATTACTGAAATAAATTGTGCTTCAAGATATCTTTGAAGTTGGATGGCATATATAAATGATAGTTGATAGATATCAATCAATCCTTCAATATGAAACTTTGGCAATAACTTTGGTAACAGAATTAAGGTTCATCAGACCATATATATCCTAAAGCCATATTTGCAAAACCTATTAAAATGTTAATTATCAACATTAACCATTTTGTCATCCAGATCTACTATTTATTCCCATAACAGGAAAGAGAAACAAACAAACAAAGAATTGCAAAGGACCACAATTCAAGTCAAGAAAAAGGAAGCCAGTCCAGACATATAATACATGCAGTGAAAACTTTAAGCAATCGAGTGAGAATCCTTACTCCCAAACTTCATAGCTTTTCTCCATGCAATTCCTTTTCTTGCAGTATGATTCATGCATTTTAAATTGCAAGCTTCAGGGTAGGATTTATATAATTATGGAGGTTTGTATGCTTCTTACAGGAGCCTCTTTGGCAGACAAACTGGATATCCTTATAGAAATGTTGGTATATTTCCTTTGTTTTAATTCTTCAGGAAGAAAACACCGGCATATTTGTAATAATAATAAAAAAGATTTCCAGAACAGCTGTAAATTCAGACTAGATAAAATCAGTTCACAACCTCTTGTTCCATTTCTCTGTGACATTTTCAAAGAACTGTGTATAAATCTAGCATATTCCCAGATGCAGCCTGATACTTTTGACCTTTGTTTACTGAAGTAAAAAATAGACATACGGTTTTTCTTTTTTAAAGCCAAATTGTTGTCTATTTGCCCAGTTAGTATTCATGGCTTCTGGAAATAAAATCTGAGTTTCACTTACTTCTGAAAATCAACACTGTAGTTTGAAGGACTTAATATACCATTGTAGCACTGAATATTAGCTGTAATTGCCAATAATGCTCTCTACTTATTTAAGTCAAGATTAGGGTTAATAATTGGTCTACTGGTTAAGGTACCAGGCTAAAAACCAGGAGATTGTGAGTTCCAGTTGTGCCTTAGGCATGAAAGCCAACTGGGTGACTTTGGGACATTCTCTCAGCCCACAATGTCAGGCTTGGGTGACAAGCTGATCAGTAAATTCCTGTTGCAATCAATGGATCAACATTTGGTTAATACAAAACAAGCTGACCCTGAACTTGTAGGAAAATGCTAGGAAGATATATAAGTGAGCATAAGAGGATAAGATCAGGAATAAACCAAGGATACCAGTGCTAGCTGAAGGGAAGGAGGAGGCTGGAAGTTGGATGAGCTGGTGGGATATGCTATACTGACAACTGATAAAAGCTGATATACTCAAGCTTTACCCTGTTTCCCAAATAAAATCATTCTGAGATTACTTCAGATTTTGTCTCACTCAAACTGAGAACGTTTATTTATTTATCATCTCACCAATATTTCAAAGCTTATTCCAAAAAAACCTATAATCTTAGAATGAAGTGGCTACTGCGGGTATTTCCAATTTGTCAATATTTATGACACTGACTGCTTCATTTTCACATTATTGGTATTTTTAAAATCCTATTAATAATTTTAATATTGTCCATATGTTGTCAGTCATGTTTGATGCCTTCAGTTTCATATTTGATAAAAACCCAATGTATAAACTGTAAAAATGACATAATATATTTCAGATGCAAGTTGACTATATCTAACTAGCACAATAATTATCAGATAAATATGTAACCCATTGCAATCCTCTGTCCTAGATGTATTAATTAGAAGTTTTGCACCCTTTCTCCAAGTTCAGATGAAACTATCATTAAGAGGTTTTGAGAAGAATTAATGACATAATATACCGAATTCACAGCTTTCAGTAATTATAGGTGGAATAACTTGGTAGCCTGACAGCTTTGTCCTGTTACAATATTGAGATTTTTCTCAATAAACATATTTACATGCATAATATGTTTATGAGAATGGGCTGGGCTAGTAAGCTGACTATTTCCTTTATGCATGGAGTGGTCACTTGAGACCAGTCCAGGATCTATGTTGGTTTGGCTGAGTTCACGAGCAAAATAACTTCTTTGCATCATGTATCAAGCCCGAAATTGACATAAGTGTAGCCATTTTAGTTAGGCTTAGTATATATTCTTTTTCTTATTTTCTCTGTGGCAATCATGGGGGAAGGGTTTCGGGATCGCCACATTCCTAAGTGGGGGAGGAGTGGAGATAAAGAGAGTGTTTTGGCTAGGTGATCTTTCTTCCTGTGAGAAATGAGCTGTCCATGCTTGGGCCCCTTGAGGTGGAGATTTATGACATCAAGCAATGTTGAATTACTTCTATTGGAGAATGTGACTTTTGGGGATTGTTTCTAACTTGTAATATTGTGGGGTAATTCCGGATTGTGTCAGATCCGGAATTACAACAGACTTTGCCAATCTGATGCTTTCCTAAATAAAATAAATCTTTTTTGAAGATTGACTTTGTTTTTTTTTTAAATGGATTTCATCACTTGGAAACCTGAAACCATGTTTAAAACAGCAAGTTCATGCTAAAGAATGACTATCAGAAGCAAGCAATTCAGCTCCTTGAGGAACCATCAATTGGTCACTGAATATATAACCTATGAACCACTACTTACAAGTCACAGAGACTGTGGTGCTAAGTCAAATTTAAGCAAGCCACATAAACCTAGTTAAATATAATGTCAAAGAATATTGTTGGATGAATACATTTCTGATGAAATTTGAGATGTTCTCACTATTTAGAGCAATCCTGTTCCCTCTTTTAAGTCCCACAATGGCAGGATACTTTCTCACAGTCTGTTTTGTGTGCTGTGGGTTGCCATTCTGAATTGTTCTGATAGTCTATTTCCAATTTAGAAACTGGGCAAAAACAAATAACACTCTTTTGTTCTACCACTTTTTCCTCATGACTGTTTTCCAGGTACATTTGAACCTAGGATTAAATAGTCAACCATGTATGAAAAAATATCAGGAAAACTGTCACTTATGAACACCCATAATTAAGTAATGGAAAAGTAATGGAAAAAATAATGGAAAAGCATGGCTTTATTTATCTTTTTTTAAACAGCAGATGAAGCAGAAGTTTTGTATTAAAGACATGTAAATAGCATAAATTCAATCCTGTAATACAGCAAGAACTTATCTGAAAAGTAGATAATAAGACTTCTTGACATGGTCTTCTGGAATGTCCCCAGGGTTTCCTGAGAACTTGAATGGACTCCATGAGAAATTAACAGGCAAAAAAATCAGAGAAACACAGCCAATTTTCTAGCACTTTGCCTCCTAATGTAAGATTCTGGGAAATTGTTAACTAACTGGTTCCACAGGCTGAAGTTTGAAACCTCACTGGTTTGGATGACACAAAACTTTTTACTGTGCACTGACAGAAAGAACAATTGCAAAGCAACTTGAAGGCTACATGTATGTTTTATGTCATTAAGATTTATTCTCAAACTTTACATCCATGACATTTGACACCCTATCACACATGCACCCCCCCTCCCCCCCCTATGCCTATGGGGCAGAAACGATTTTGCCACCATAGGCCCAATCGTGATTATCATTTTGAAATTGGGTTGTTCTTATCTTGAACCTTGCAAGCAGGTTCAAGGTTTCCATGAAGTCTTAGCTGTATTTATTTTATGGGAGCAACTGAAATCCGCCCAATCCATTTGACAAAGATGGGAGATTAAAAGCATACTGTACTCGTTTCAAACGACGGCCCGGTCCTGCTTTGACAAGTTTCTCCAAAATCACATCTGGGAGGGGCAGAGAATTTGAGCCTGGATCGCCTCCTAAGAGGCGGGTCACAAGCTCCGGCATCGCTGCCTCCGTCCTCCAGCCTCTCCGCCTCCGAGAGCTCTGGATCTCCGCCGACCGCGGAGGCTTCTGTCCTGAACTCCCTCCACCACCATCCCCGCCCCTGCCTCTTCCCGCGATCAAGCCGGCCGGAGCGAGGCTGAGATAATTCCGGGGGCGGAACTTTCCTCGCGGCTCTCCTGCCTGAGGCGAGACAGGAAAAGTGTCCGCCTGGAGTAGCCCAGGTGAAGAAGAGGCTCGCTCTGCTTGCGCGCTGGTGTCTGGGTAAGGCCGGGAAGATGGCGGGGGGCAGTTAGGACGTTTTGGGGGAGAGCGGGGCGCCATTTCGCGCGCCAGCGGATCATTTGGCCGAGGTGTTTGGTGGGGGAAAGCGCGGAGCAATATCGGTCCCGAGACCTTTCTTCAGCTCGAAGGAAGAGAGGGACTCGCGGCGGAGAATTCCTCCCCCCCTTCCCCCCACCGAAAGGGAATGACTGGTCCTGTGGATGCCGGCACTTCTCCCCTTCTCTCGCTCGGACCTGTCAAGCGACCGGCTGGGGCGACTTGCCTGCCTTCACCTCCTGCCTTTTGCTTCTCCGCCAAAGGCTCCTTCGTCGCATTCCTGTGAAGCCTTGGCAGGCAGAGGCACCCGACGTGCTCCACACAGGGCACATTTCCAATTCCACCTCCGGCTCTTCGAAGGAGGATTCAATACATCTGAACATCATTTTTAAAAAGTGTAGAATAACTGCTTTACTCTTGGGTATTTCGTACCGGACATACTCGACTCATTGATTTCTTGCTTTCATGGTTAAAGTCTGCTTGGCTGAAGCTTTGATCTGGCATGAGTGTAAATAGGGCTTATTGATTTTGCTTTTACAGAGTACTTCCAGACGGTCGAAGAGTAACTTCTTGCGTTGCCAAAAATCACAGCCCGACAAATCCAGGGTATTTTCCTTCAATTGTTTCTTTCTGGTCAAAAACTGGGAAAGGGGAATGCGAAATGTTGACTAATTCTACCTCATGATACAGAGTCCTCATAAAATTGGCCGAAGTATTTGTAGAAAGAGAATCATTTACACGTTTATTTTTTTTCCAATATGATGTGTGGTTTTGAGTTCAAAAAGTGCAATCTGGAGTTGTATAAAAATGTTGAAATGTTTAGCATGTTGAAAAGGAGAAATTATTCCTCATTTGTCTGATAAAAGGCAAATGGGGTGAGAAAAAATAACTAACTGAAGATGGAAGAAACTATTCTTAGTTGGGAATATTGTACCCTAGAAAAGCCAAGGATTGCATTGTTAATGGATGATTTTTAGAAATATGTATGCCCCGTAGAAGTGAAACCTAAATCTATTATTAGTAAAGCCAATAAATACCATATTTTTATTTTTCAGGCAGTTGCCCAGGATAGAAATTCCATATCTCCATTCTGAGATTGTGATAGTTTATTGACTGACATTTAATGTTTATTCCTATGTCAAGAATGAAATACTTGATTGTAATCAAAGATTGATTAATAATTGAAAGGTGTATAGAGAACATAATTGGATTTTAAAAAGTGGTACCTAATACCTGGTTTTGAAACCTTGCCTTGGGAAGGGTTTTATTTATTTGTTTGTTTGTTTATTTATATGGCTATCAGGGTACAGTCATCAACATCGGGTAGGTTATTGATGTTTCTTCTCTCAGTTTTAAAACTATGTTTATCTTCTTCAAATTCAGCTTCCCATAATATACACTGCTCAAAAAAATAAAGGGAACACTTAAACAACATAATGTAACTCCAAGTCAATCACACTTCTGTGAAATCAAATTGTCCACTTAAGTAGCAACACTGATGGACAATCAATTTCACATGCTGTTGTGCAAATGGAATAGACAACAGGTGGAAAGCATAAGCAGTTAGCAAGACATCCCCAATAAAGGAGTGGTTCTGCAGGTGGTGACCACAGACCACTTCTCAGTTCCTATGCTTTCTGGCTGATGGTTTGGTCCCTTTTGAATGCTGGTGGTGCTTTCACTCTAGTGGCAGCATGAGACGGAGTCTACAACCCACACAAGTGGCTCAGGTAGTGCAGCTCATCCAGGATAGCACCTCAATGCGAGCTGTGGCAAGAAGGTTTGCTGTGTCTGTCAGTGTAGTGTCCAGAGCATGTAGGTGCTACCAGGAGATAGGCCACGGGTCTGGAGACGCCGTGGAGAACATTCTGCTGCCTGCAACATCCTCCAGTGTGACAGGTTTGGCAGTGGGTCAGTAATGGTGTGGGGTGGCATTTCTTTAGGGGGCCGCACAGCCCTCCATGTGCTCGCTAGAGGTAGCCTGACTGCCATTAGGTACCGAGATGAGATCCTCAGACTCCTCGTGAGACCATATGCTGGTGCGGTTGGCCCTGGGTTCCTCCTAATGCAAGACAATGCTAGACCCCATGTGGCTGGAGTGTGTCAGCAGTTCCTGCAAGATGAAGGCATTGATGCTATGGACTGGCCTGCCCGTTCCCCAGACCTGAATCCATTTGAGCACATCTGGGACATCATGCCTCGCTCCATCCACCAATGCCACATTGCACCACAGACTGTCCAGGAGTTGGGGGATGCTTTAGTCCAGGTGTGGGAGGAGATCCCTCAGGAGACCATCCACCATCTCATCAGGAGCATGCCCAGGCATTGTAGGGAGGTCATACAGGCATGTGGAGACCACACGCACTATTGAGCCTTATTTTGACTTGTTTTAAGGATATTACATCAAAGTTGGGTCAGCCTGTAGTGTTTTTTCCCACTTTAATTTTGAGTGTAACTCCAAATCCAGACCACCATGAGTTGCTAAATTTGATTTCCATTGATAACTTTTGTGTGATTTTGTTGTCAGCACATTCAACTATGTAATGAACAAAGTATTTAATAAGAATATTTCATTCATTCAGATCTAGGATGTCTTATTTTTGTGTTCCCTTAATTTTTTTGAGCAGTGTATATTCAACATATAGATTGAATAAAAATGGGAAAAAATATTCAACATTGTCATATTTGTTTGCCAATATAGTCCCAATGTGTTTCACTGTGTTATGTCTGCACTATACCTTCTTGGCCTGTATATAATTTTCTTACAAGCATAATAAGTTGTTCTGGGATTCCCATTTTTCTAAGAACATTCCACAACTTGCCATCAGCAACACAATCAAAATCCTTTCTCTAATAATTGAAGTATATAGTGACTTTTTTTTAGTATTCATTGGCTTTCTCAATGATCCAGCATATATGAGCAATATTTCATATACCTTAGTCTTTTCTAAAACCAGTTGGAGCATATGATGTCTCTTTTTCCTTGGAGGACTTTAATTTGTGTTATCCTAAGCACTATTTTGTTAGCATGTATAATTAAGGATATTGCACAGTAGTTTGTACACTCAGTTACCTCTCTTTTTATGGTATTAAAATACTGATTTAATTCTTTCAGTTGGTTGGCCATTGTGTTACTTAGTTCAAAATTTTATGGATTCCTCTTCTGTTGATTGCATCAACTCTTGTAGCCTTCTGACTTTGTAATGACCAATGTGTTGACCTAACATCATCTTCTAGTACTAGAAGTTTTTGTAAATGGGGAATAGCGTCTAGGATATCTTAGATCTTGACATCTCTGTTGTACAATATCTTCTCCTTCTCTTCCTTTCCCCCTTCCTCCTCCTCCTTCTCGAACAGTTCATGATCTGTTCCACAATCAGCACCTAGCCATGCCTTCGATGCTGCAGTTGGGTTCCTATACCTTTTTTTAGCAATAATACAGCAAACTCCATCTTGTGATGTCAATGTGTAGAGACATCATTTTGTTTATATGAAGGAGATTGACTTAACATAATGTAAATGTTTAATTAGATTTAATTATTAGTATTTCTCTTAGCTCTGCTTATTTTGCAGAATTCTCCTTCAGCATACCACTAAAGGCTAAGTGTGCATCAGGCCAAGAGAATTTGTGCATTCCAATTTTTAAATTTTAAGGCTATAGTTGTACCATATGAGTAGAGTGTGGCTGCCATATAACAATCCCCCCCAGTGTACCTATCACCAATATATCTTTCTAATTCAGAACTTAAGAGTGGCCTTGATAATGCCAGTAAAACCTTTTTGTACCATAAACCTGCCATATTCACACTAATAAAATATTTAAATATTCACAAACACACTTCTTGGCCTTTCTGAGATGTTATATCCAAGGAGTTTATGTTCTAAGATTCAGCTATGCTTCCCTTTCTGTCTGATTTTTGGAGTTATTTATCATCTTGCTTCCATCCAACTGTTTGCATTGTGTTTGTAATATATATAGAGTATAAAGTGGGGGATAGATTGTAAACGACCAGTAAGTTATTTTCTTAGTGGGTACAGTAGCTGACATGACTAGAACATTGAGACAGAAGACCATAAGGGGTTGGCAATTTGGCAGTTTGAAAACCGTGAATGCAAGCCACATAACTGAATGAGCTCCCGTCGATTTGTCCCAGCTCCTACTGTCATAGTAGTTCAAAAGCATGCAAGTGCAAGTAGACAAATAAGTATCACCTTGGTGGGGAAAAATAACAAGGACATGAAAGGAACCCACTTGGGTGTCCTCTGGGAAATTGTGATGTCACCAGCCAATCCTTAGAACCCAGAAATGCCTTGGTAAGTGCTTTCCAACACAAGTGTAGTAGTAGGTATTTTCTTATCACTTCTTGTTGAAAAATGCAGTCATTCCATTAATTGGTCAACAAGGCCAGTTATTAACAGTTAACAAGTTTACAATTAATTAACAAGAACCGACAATTAACAGAAAATATCCTGATGTTCTTGCCTGAAGGGTATCATGTATAGAATTAATGAAAATCAGAATAGTGACCAGAAAGTACAGATACTCAAAGCAAATATGATTGCATTTTGCTCTGCCTCTGCAAATCTTGAAGAATAATATGAACTATTATCTAGATATGATCTACAGTATGTGTTTTAGCTTAGTTTGCTATGCTACCATCATAGTAAGTGTATGTCATAGTAGCACATTTTCTGAACTTAGCCAATTGCTTCAAAAAACTTTGAAATATGGCAGCGCCCAACTAGGAAGGTGAGGCTCTCGCTCCTGGAGCACTATCTCCCTATAAAGCCACCACCTGCACCAGAAATCACTTTTAAAGCTGCCGCCTGCACCAGTAACCATGAGTAAATCAGAGCCCCCAAAACAAGCCCAAAAACGCTGGATTCTGAAGCCGTGGAACCCTAATAATGCTGGCGGAGCTCCTGCTAGCTGATCCAGAGCCCTCCTCTCCTTCCCCAGAGAAGTGAAGCTCTTTTCATCGAGCCCTATTAACCACACTGGTGGAGCTCTTGAACTGGATCACTTGGAGCCAGCGGAATGCAAACAGCGTACCTTCATTTAAATCCCTCACACAGCTGATAGAAGTATCTTCCACGCCAGACAACGTGTTTCCATTAATATCCCCCACACAGTTTCCCCGAAGCCACATCGGACAGCTGGCAGGGAGAAACAAGGAGGGAGGAGAAATCCCTGAGGCTCTTAGGAGCCGAAAGTCACCCTGGACGGGTGGTAAAGGCAGAGGAATGCTTCGGTGGTCGCGAGGAGAGGAGAGTCTCCTCGATTGACCCAAAGAAAACCCCTCCATCTGAACTAAAAAGAGAACTGCCAGCATGGCTAAATCGAAGCCAGGAAGGCAGCTGAGACAGAAGTGAAAAAGAAAGGAAAGATCTTGTAACAGCGTGCTTAGTCTTGGTAAGAATCACTCCAATTTCTGCAGTGGAATTTTCCTTGGAAAGTGGGACTCAAAGGAGGAAAATAGCTGCGATTAACAATCTGGAGAGACTGTCAGATTTAGTTTTTTTTTAAAAAAGATATTGCAACTAGAAGTAACTTTAAAAGTAAAGGACAAATTGGATTGGTTAACCCAAATTTCTGAACTGTATTTTTACTACTACTCAACTTGAAGAACTTTAGGAAACTATTGGAAAACAATCTTATTCAGAGACATATTTATTGTAGTTAAAGTGTTTTAATTCAGCGAGTTTTGCTCTCTTTCAAAAATCCAGTGTGCTTTGAACATCTTGTTACAGCCTATTGTTTACAGAGTAATAGCAGCAGCAATCAGAACAATAAATTCCTCCCACCCAGTAAATCACAGCTGCTAGTAAAACAATTAACCCTTTTCTTGCAGACTCTCAATACTACCTCATTACTTTAATCAAACACTGATTAATTCATTACCTCAAAACTTACAACTTTTGTACCTCATCACCTATATCAATGATTAGATAATCAATTTCTATAAAACATTTCATTAATGGTTTAATTGATTTATTGTTTTAATTGATTAGTGTGATTAGAGTGTTTAGTGCAAATAGTGTGATTACTGATTAGTTTAAAAGATGAAGATTCATGTAATTTAATTGATTAGTAAAATCAGTGATTTAGTGAATTTAATTGAACAGTGTGATTAATGATTAGTGTAATTAATTGATCAGCGATTAGTGTAATTAATTGATTAGGCTGATTGTTGCTTATGAAAATTATTTGACTAGAGAGATTACTGCAATTGATTGATTGGTGTGATATTGGCTATATTGATTACCCAAATTTGTTCCGTTAATTTATTTAATCAACGTACCATGACTGCTTGGGATTACCCGAGCAAATGATTCAATACCTAGAATCATCCAATGAGTTTCCATATCTCTGCAAATCATGCAGACCCAAACTGGATCTGTTTGAAAGAGTTGATACCATAGAAACATGAATAACATCCCTTGACACCATAGCAGCATCCCTGGACGCCTTAAAAGAAAGATTATCCAACCTTGAAAAAAAAAGACACAACGCAAAAACCTGAACATCCAATAGCTACAAACCACATCTCTACCCAACAACCACAACCCAATCCACAACCCAATCCACAAAAAAACATAAGCCAGACAAATAATGATATCCCAATCCTCATCAGAGAAGCTGTTGAGCGTGAACGGAAACGTCCAAACGCCATTTTATTTGGTCTAGAGGACATCAATGATAATGATGACATCACAAGTATCTGTACAAAAAAAGTAATGAGGTAGTAGAAAAAGAACAAAGGACACAGAAATAACCTGGAAATCTAGAGATGGTACAAGAACGTTGAAAGAACTTCTTTAAATACGCTAACACTAAATATTGGAAATGTTATACCAGCTATTCAACAATGGTGGCAAAACACAAATGTGTAAATATAACAGAAAAAAGACAGATATACTCAGTTTTGCCTTGAGTTTCTCCAAAAGTAGCAAAAACTTTATTACAGTTTTAGTCCAACACTTAGATTTTTTTTAATATTTTCTCCCATTCATAATCTCTTTCACTATGATAGTATTTGAGTCTTGCATATGAATACAGTAACTATTTCTTTTCCATGTTTGTGTTTTAGATTTTTTTTCATTCCCTATATTATTTATATAAATAAAGCAGCAAACCCACTATTTCCCCACCTTCCTATAAGATGAGTTGGGTTAAGAGAGTGACTGTCACCCAGTCAGCTTCCATGGTTAAGGCAGAATTAGAAGTTCTGATTTCTAGCCTGATGCCTTAATCAATAGATCAAGCTTGTTGTTTTATTTTTTCTACTATTATTAATTCTGTATTCGTAATTTTTCATCAAACTGATTAGCTTCTCAGATTCTCATCTGGAAGATTAAAAGATACAATAAATTGTTTCATGTTCACCATATATTGTTTATTCATTTTTGTGTACCGTTTTTGTAAGACCTTGTTTTTCAAAAGTTCACAAACTCTGACAGAACATAAGTAATTTCAGAGTTTGGAAACAAATGTAATATGAAAGCCAATAAGGCACACAAGTACTCAATACAAGAATCACTAGTTTTCAGTTGTGCTTTTATTGACCCTCATTTTAGTATCTTCTACACACCTGCCTTTTCTCATTAGCTTCTCCCATCTTACAGTTCTGTTTATTACTACATTGAATTCATCAACACACTTTCAACCAACATTTTAATTTTTATTTCTATTGAAAATTCCAATGTTACATATTCACTTTCTCCTAATCTTCTTGTGTCTTTTTCTGAAGAAGAAACTTGTTATTTTAAAAAAGGCAGAAAGTTCCTTAAAGGTCTATGTTCGACAGAATGTTTTTCCTAACAGATGTTGGTTTAATAAAAAAGTTTCACTACTATTTATTGAGAAAGAACTTCATGGACTGTTTTTATGAGAGATCTCCATGATCTCCCAGATTCTGAGTGCAAATATTGATAACGATGTAGTAGTATAGAGTTTACATTGACTTTTGCAAATGGCTATTTATCTAGTTTGGCTGCATTTTGTCTTCTTAGTCCTGTAAAGTGGGTTAGGCTGTGACATGAAAAGTAGTTATTTGGTTTGAACTTTCCCATTACTGGGACACCTTCATTTAGCATAGATACAATCTTCAAAGCCCTAAACACTTTACGGCCAACTAACTTGTAGTATTACTTTTTCTTGTGATTGTGCAAATAAGTCTATGATGCTCTTATTTTGTTGCATGTGCTGAATACCGTGTTTCTCATATAATAAGGCTGGGTCTTATTTTTTTTTTGAGTGAATTAGTTTCTCACACACCCCCGCGCACTCTCGCCTAGAGCACCCTGTGGGCAGCCATGCCTCGCCACCAGCCACTCCTAACGGCCTATCATGGTGGAGCGCTCCCTACCCCTGCCAAGCGGCTTTGCTGCAGACCTGGGTCAGCGGGTGGGCAGCGGTAGCATGGATGTTGCCACTGTTGGAGACAGCACTGGCAAGAGAGGGACAGCTGCAGCTCGGCCTGGGCATGCTTGGAATGCAGGAATGGGCTGTGTACCAGGACTTTTGGAAACTTGCAGAGCCCGATGCTGGAGCACCAAGGGTAGCAGCGGCAGAGATGCTTGCTCGGCTCTTCTCACGCCCAACCAGCCACTTGGGATTAAACGAAAATGCACCGTGCAGCGCTCCCAGGTACCTCAAATTGTTTTTTTCCCTGTTGTTGCGGGGACAGGGATGGGGGGGAAAGCGGGAACGACTCAGACGCTGTTGGAGACGGTGCCGGTGAGAGAGGCGCCGGCGGGAACCGTGGAAGCTATGGAGGCCCGAGAAGTGGCTGAAACGCTGTCAGCGGACATCCACGCCGCCACCGCCCGCCCGCTTACCCAGGTCTGCAGCAAAGACGCTTGGCGGGGGTAGGGAGCCCTCCACACTCTGCCATGATTGGCCATTAGGAGCGGCTGGTGGCGAGGCGTGGCTGCCCGTGGGGCACTTCTAATGGCAAGTCCCCTCCCACTCTTCCCTCCATTTCGCATGTTTTAAAATAGGCCTAAATTTGGGGGGAGGGGCTTAATTTTATTTTATGCCTAGAAAACATGCTGGACTTCCCATTGGGGGAGCTGTATTGTTGGAGAAACATGGTATGATGCAGTAGTTAATTGAAAGCAATGCTTCTTCAAATATTATATTGGAAAGTCTCCTTTTTGCTAATTTGATGGATACAAGTTGCAGAGAATTGATGGAACACAGAATGTAATATTGCATTGACTAAAATCTTCTTGAACTTCTGAGGGATTAGTTTTTTCTTCTGCTTCAAAACTATGGTAAACCTATTTTAGGAACTTCACCATAGATATTAGGTGCTTCCTATCTCAAAATGATATTAAGCTGTGCCACCAAATTCATTAGTACAGTTGTGTATGGAGATTCTCAGTCATTCAGGTCAGTAATGGTTGCTCCAAAGGTGCTTTTTCAAAAGGCAACTTGACTTTATTTTTACTTGAAGATGTTTCACTACTCATCCAAGAAGTTTTTTTCAGTTCATTAGTAGTCAGCAGATTTGAGAGGCTGGGAAAAGAAAGGCTTTACATCCTTGGAATTTGTGCTTAACTAATTTCATTATTTCAAATTTCAGATTACTTTTTATTTTTTATTTTATATTAAGTTGTGGACTCCAAATAGATTTGTGTTTGGATATATTAAAAAGCATTAAACCTTTTTTCAGCGTATAAAGTAATAGAATGTATCTGCCCGTATCACACGTTCAAATATATTTTCATTTCTTTAGGAGATGTTTTCTGCACTGTGGCTTACTTCTTGGATTTATCTCCTTCATTTTTCTTTCAGCTGTTGTAAGTATACCATATTTCTTTCTGTCTTATATCACAGTGAGTGTCACATAATAACATTTGGGTTTTTCCCAACAGTTAACCAGTCTCCTATATGGATTGCTTATTTTCACTTGCACATGCACACCCACCATTCATGTCTCATGAAGTGTGGTTATTCTGGCAATATAAGAACAGAGATGTACAATTGAAAATCAGTGCATGAGAGGAAGTTTAAAGGTCCATGTCTCATTTTGAGTTTCTTCTGTATTTAAAATAAGATGCAGGTTTGCTTTTCCTGAATTCATTATTTAAACAAAACTAGGAAAGACTAAGAAGATGCTCTTATAATAATTAATTGTTAAAAGACATTTATTCTTTAAATACTTTGAATACATTTTTCACATTTAAATAAGTAGTATATTTTTGCTCTTGCTGGTATAATGGCCCATTTTTCATGCATGTATTTAATTTATATCCATTTTTCTCCAATAATTGCCATTTAAATAACAATAAATTAAAAACAAAAATATTTGAATCAGACAAATAACATTATGTGTGTAGGCATACACCTCATTAAAAATGTTTTCCCTGTGGATAAGATGGAAGGGCTAGTTTTATCTTCATCTTCTTCTGTTTTTGGCAGGAAATTCTGATTGACAAAATCAGATATGCTGTTGATTATCTGAAGATAATGGGGCTGAAAGAATGGCCTGCTCTTAAATTTCCATTGTTGTTGTGCCATGATAACATAGCTCCTCCTATGAGCTAAATAATCCTAAACACTCATAGCATCATACATTGTAGAAATATTTGAAATTATGCAAGAAACAGTAGAAGAGAATGTTGCATAGCAATTCAATGATTGTTCTTTTAAAAGTGTTACTTGTTTAATTGTGTAGTTTAATTTAATTTAATTTTATTTTAAAAGTGTTATTTGTTTAATTGTGTAGTTTAATTTTATTTTGGTAAACAAATTATTCCCTTTGTAGCCAGATGAATAACTCAAATCTGGAATATTTGAGAAACATTTGTCATAATTGTAGATCTGTTTACACATTTCAAATAGATAGATAATCTATATATATGGCAGTTATACTACTGTAATCACTATTATACAAATACTAATGTATATTTATAGTTGCACAAATAGTAATATATATTTATTTATTTGTTAGGTGAGGAGACCATTGTTAGTTTATCCGCTAAAGAAGAGCCAGGAACTGTCTCTTGTCTATCAGGTAGCCAATCTAACCATGTTGTGACTTGGTATAGAAAAGATATTGAGATGCCTATAACTACAGATAACTCCTCCCGGGTTTTTCAGCAAGCAAACTTGCTTTGGTTTTATCCTGCAAAACTAGAAGATTCTGGAATGTATCGATGCATTTAGTAAGTCAGTTTATTTATTCATTCTTTATTCATTGCCTTTGAGGGTCGTCCCAACTTACAATAATTCACATTTAATGACCATTCAAAGTTACAATGGCACTGAAAAAGTGACTTATGACTATATTTCACACTTTTGACAGTTGCAGCATCTCCATGATCATATGTTCAAAATTTGATTGCTTGGCAACTGGCATGTATTTATGATGGTTGCAGTGTCCCTGGTCCATGAGTTACCTTTTGCAATCTTCTGACAAGCAAAGTCAATGGGGAAGCTGGATTCAATAATTGTGTTACTAACTTAACAACTGCAGTGATTCACTTAACAAGAAAGGCCATACAATGGAACCATTGGGCTCAATTGTGGTCATAAGTCAAGGACTACCTGTATATTTCACATTATCTGTGGGAGATAAGGATGTACACCATAAGAACAATTCTAAACCAGAGATTAATCCAAGTGATAAAACCATGACTTCCCTTAAAATTTCCCGTGAACTCCAACAACAAGCAGGGACATAACTTGATTGTACTCCAACATTATAATTACAGTAGTACTTTACATTGGATCTAGCATTTGGAAAAGGAAATGATAATGAGAAGAAAATATAAAATTAATATTTTGACCATGTTTATTGGTATTAATTTTTAGCTTTAAATGTATAGAATTTGAGTTCAAACAATGCTTGGTAGAAGATTTTTAACTTCTAATCATAGACCATGCTTTTATAAGAGTTTAATGCTTAAATGAGAGTAAACACTTCTGAATAATTGGAGTCTTATTTCTAGCTAAATTTTTATAACAATAGAACTTCATTGGTTCCATTTATTATTCATTTGCTTACATATTTTTCCTGAAAAAATATACTCCTGAAATTAGAAATTAAATATAAGAAATTGAATTGGTACAAAAAGTTGTTAATCTATGCTTTAATGTATCTTGGTTCAAGATCTGCTCATATTTTTAGAAGTGTACCCAACTGTTAATTGATATAATTATTTTTTTCCTAAATATTAAATGATAATTTGATGCCAGTCACTCTCTTTATGGATGCGTATATTATATAATAACTGAAGTACTAATGCCATTTTTATTTCAGTAACTCCACAAGAGTTAACAAATCCCTAATAGTGTTTGAGAACAGCGTTGGATTGTGTTTTAATAAAGGAATGGTTTTTGAACAGAAAATTCCATTAGAATATAATGGGAAGCTGACTTGTCCAGATCTTCAAAATTTCAGAAATGATGAAAATGCTCCTTTTGCTTTACAATGGTATAAGGTAAGTCCTTTTCCATAAAGGCAGAAGCAAAATAGCAATTAAGCAGTTTACTTTTTCCGTTTTGCACATCACTATCTTGCCATGTTCTACAACTTTTGGACCAGCTCTTTGCTTGAATTTCCTCTTACTACATGCATAACCAAAGAACCTTTTTTGTTAACTATGGTGTTCACTGCAAACCTCAGGTCATTCTGAGTTTTGGCTTTCCAAAGTCATTCTTACGTACACTGATTATTTATATGTATATATTCCTTTTACTATAAGGGTCTCCTTAAATTTTTCTAAAGACTTGCCCCTTTTGCTTCTCAGTTCATTGGATAGTTCTTTTTTCATGTATATATTTATTATGTTTTATCAATGGGATTTAAATACAAAACAGAAAAAATATATACATTCAACAATAACAATAAAAATTAGTACAAAAATGGATCTGTAAATAGCTATAAAATTTCTCATCCTTATTTAACAAGAAAAATATATAAACAAATATTTCCGATGAGGAAGTCTCTATCTAATAGTTCATTGTTTTCATTGGTGTCTCTCCTTTTTCTTCTCCTCTGATGCTGTGTGTGTTTGGATGCTTCTTTATTGTTTCATATTTCAGCATTTTTCAACTCAGGATTTTTTTACAACTTTTACAATTCAGGATTTCTATCCATAGAATCTTTCCAATGCTTTCCCTCAGCCTATTGGAATAAGTTCTTTTGAACTCAGAACCCTAATCTGATTGCCTTCATGTTACTCTGCTTATGATATGTAATATAGTAGGAAAATTCCAAGATGACACAGCCATTCTCTTAGAAGGTCCCTGCAACTTCCACATCCAAAATATTTTTCCCCATGAGTAAGTATTAAGCCCACTGTACTGATTACCTAATTTCTTCCTCCACCTTTTATATGATGATGTTGTCTTTGACTTCAAGTCATATCAAGAATCTGTGGCCCTCCTGTGGCCTTTTATCATACTGACACTTCATCTTTGATGTATTTTTCAGGCAAAATTGTATTGATTGCAGCTCCAAACTTTGTTTCTTGTTCTGTCTCACCTTTCTTCTTTCCCAAAAGATAAAAGAGTACAAACTCACACAAACACAAGCAGACAGGCAGGCTGGCTCGGACTTCACAGAGTTAATTCTTTGGAACTGATAATGTCCTTGCATTCCAACACGCTCTGCCTGCCAAGTCCGAACTAATAACAAGTAAAAAGCTACTTACAGAAAATTACAAGGCAGACCACAAAAATCATTCCCAAAGAAAACCTGAAGTAAGATCCAACTTTGTCCCGTACAAAGTTCCAGCCGACAACACACCCACTTTTATCCCCTGTGGGGTATGGCTCAATGGCTCAGCTCACTTTCTGACCCTCCCACGCCTCCTACGTTGCTGCTCACGTTTCACCCTACGACGCTACCTAGGATCAAGCCAACATTCTTCCTCTTGACTCCCTGTCAGGGGCTGCTCTGATATGCCTTCCTCCTGATTAATCTCAGGCTGTTCCTCTCAGTTGTCTGATGAAACCTGAGGCATTATCAGGGAGGAAGGCATTGCCAGAGAGGAAGGTCCTGGGGAGGAAGGCATTCCCAGTTCCTCCTCCTCATCTTCCAAGTCCTGTTCCTCTAGCAGCACAGGCTCGGGAATCGGAGCCACAACAGTTTCTGTTATACAATGAGAATCTTTAATATTGTTTAGGAGCCAGATTGTTTTTGCGTGGCTTCAATTAACAGTTTTTGAGAGGAATTCCAACATGAACCTCAAATATGCTTTCAAGTCTTTGCAATGCTGATATAAAGACATTGGGTTTTTCTTTTTTATTCTTCTTTGGCTAAGAAGATTACAAATGTTTCATTTTCCTTAGCTTTCACTTCTTTCCCAGTATCCTTCTTATTCTCTCATAAGTTATCCATCTTTCTATAATTAGTTGGTGTCTTCACGTAAGAAATAGGAGGAGGAAGGCATGCTGAATATGTTCACCACCTTGAGTTATTTGTAATAACTTTAAATCTGTTTTATTGTGGGGTCCTTGGTGTTCTCTGAGCTTAGCTGTTTTATTTCAGACATTTCATTACACAACGAGGTAACATCACCAGTGGTTCAGTTTTAATGTTTTAGCTGCTGCTATTCCTTTGGAACATTTATTGGGTTGTTTTTGCCTTTTGGAACAAATATTTTATCCATTCATCTTCATTTTTAGCTGTGAGTTATTTTGGTTAACATTGTCTCACTGCTTACCTTTCTCAGCTATTGTCTCTCCAGTTTTCAAATTAATAGATATATAACAAAAGCTGGGCTCAACTATTCTACCTGCTACAATCACGCTCTGAGAACAGGCTGGTATCACTTGTAAACATAAATTGTTTCCAATTTTATCTCAAATATGCTACCTGTTACATTCCTTTGTCTCCATCAGAATATAGAACATAGAATCATAGGGCTGGAAAGGACTTCAGAGGCCTTCTGATCCAGCCCCCTGCTTAAGGCAGGAACCTTATACCATCCCAGTCAAAATGGCTGTCCAGACTATTTTTGAAAACCTACAGTGATGAAACCGCCACAGCTCTGGGAGACAAGCTACTCTATCGATTAATTGTTCTCACCATCAGAAAATTTCTCCTTACTTCTAAATCTTCATAGTTCCCTACAAGTACTTTTCTCCAGCTGATATTGTTACATTAAATATTTATAAAATGATTATTACTCTTGGCATTTGACACTGCCGTTATAGCCATCAATTAAGGTAACATTTGAGGTGTAGCATGTGATTATGATTATCATTTTAATGTTTACCAGAGTTGCTTCTAGATGAGATGAATGGTACACAAATCAAATCAATAAATAAATGTGATTATCCTGAGAAATATCAAGAGTCTTTTGGTTCCTAATTTACATTTACTTGCAGCTCACTAGTCCTGTAGATAAATTTTCTTTAGCTTGAAGATCTGGAATGGACTGATTTAATTTTTCTTTTTTGGTTATACTTTTTTTGTTTTTTTGGTATGTGTTTGATAAAAGAGTTTAGCTTGGTATTAACTATTCTTATAATATTTGCTTATTTTTGTTTCAGGAATGCCATTTGCATTTATATGAAGACTGGAAATTTAGCAGTTCTGGAGAACATCTTCTCATTAATAACGTAACTAAGGAAGATGAAGGAATTTATATATGCAGAGCTAAACATATATATCAGGGGAAAGAATATAATATTTCACGGGCCATCAAACTAATTACATTTGGTATGTAATTTTCATCTTGTAGTTATTGGTATATCACAGAATTTATAAAATAAAATAGATTTTTTTTTAATCTATGGAATCTGCAACCCAAATTTGCAATGTAGCCTTGTTACATTATTCCCACTGTCTGACATACTATATATCAGGGATCGCCAACCTTTTGGACCTCAGGGACCACCAAACTCATAATTTTAAATCCCACGTACCAGAGACCCTGGGAAAATCCCCAAAAAAGTCTGCAGGAAAATTCCCCACCCTGTTTTCCTAACGATCGATCATTCTTTATTTGGGATCGCAGGATACCATCTCCAGCTCCATTCTCAGGGAGAGAGAGAGAGAGAGACTTTTGGAAGGAAAAGACTTTCATGCAGGGAAAGCAGCAGAAGCAGCAGAAGTCTTTCTTTCTGTCCCCCAAACTCCACCAGAAATGAGTCTTTGTGAGACTTGTTGTGCTGGTGCAGCCTCTTGGAGCAGAATGTGTTGCAGGGTTCCAAAGGCTCATTTCTGGCAGAGTTTGGGGGAGGGAAAGAAAGACTTTTGCTGCTTTCCTTGCGTGCAGCCAAAAGCAGAAGAAACAAGTGGAAAGAAGCAGCCTGGTGGCTAGGCAAGGCGTGTGGGGTGAGTGGGGCAAGTCCCCCCCACCCTTCCCCCCTCTCCTACCTTGTGTTGTTCGCAATGCAAGTGACGCAAGCCTTGTGTTCCCTCTGGCCATGTAGGCGGTGCAGCCTTGTGTTTTCGCACAGCCTGGATTAATTGCTTTGCGGGGTGCTTTGGGAGTGACATTTCTCTGCAGACCACCAAAATTTTCTCACAGACCACCAGTGGTCCCTGGCCCACTGGTTAGCAACCACTGCTATATACTACATATTTGGTTGAAGTTCTTCTGAGCATATTATAATGTCTATATTTTAGCAAAAAAAGATTGTCAGTACTACCAGTTATGATGTAAATCAGTGGTTCCCAAACTTTTTCAGTCCACCGCCCCCTTGGTGCTACAAACTCATCCTCAGTGCCCCCCACTCAGGGGCGGGATTCAAATTTTTGTGGGTGTGGCCTAATTGGAGGGCATGGCCTGCGGGTCACATGACTGGGTGGGTGTGGCTTGCTGGTCACGTGACTGGGTGGGCATGGTTTGGTGACTGGCAAACCAAATACAAGTGGTCCTCACTTAATGGCAGGTTGCTTAGCAAGTGTTCTAATTTATGACTGGCCTCCCCAGAGCTACTTGACCTGTTTTTGGAGTTTTGACAGCCATGCACACACACACACACACACACACACACACACACACACACACCTTCTAATCCAGCTGGTTGGACTAGATATCTCATTCACTTTCTCCTCCCTCCCATTCTTTTCTTTCTTTCTTTTCTTTTCAGTCCACCTCCCACTTGGTGCTACAAACTCATCCTCAGTGCTCCCCCACCCCCACCCCGTATAAACAGCATTATTCAGAATAGCGGTTTGCATGACCCACCAAAGAAGATAGTAACAGTAAAATTCAAAATTGTAACAATTAATTGCACATTTATTCAAAATCCAATTTAAAAAAATCTTTTAAGTTAATGTTAATTCAACAAAATTGTTGAACATGATCCAGTGATACCAGGTTTTCAAAGTCTGATAGTCATTTATCAAGAACCTTAGTAACTAGTAACTTGGTAAACTCAGTAAAATTTAAGAATTTACTGAACAGTGAAGCAGTTACTAATGCGATGGATGGGCTTGATGAAGTGATACCAGTTTCCTAATGTCTGGTTTTAAGTCACTTAGCAGGAGTCTTAAATCACCACGTTCAGTAATCTGGAGTCGATTTCTTTGCTTGGAGAGAAGTTGGATGACCACACTGAAACCATGTTCTGCCAAATATGATGTTGGAAATGCAACAAGGAGCTTCTTAACTACTTTCCATAGTGCAGGATAGTGATCAGAAATTTCCTTCTGTAACCAAAATTCTTGGTACAATTTCTTAAACTTTGGCTTCAGCTCAATGTCATTTTTCAGTTCTATTAGTTGTTCCTCCACTTCCCCATCTTCCTCAGTATCTAAAAATGGATTTATCACCCAATCTGGAATTTCCATCAAAAGAAGATCCTGATACCACTGAGACATATCTTTACGCAGCATGTCCAAATGGTCACAAAAAACATGCAGATCGTCATCTTGTATCCCACCTTTCTTTTCTAGCTCAGAGAAGCTTGGAAATTAGTATAGCTCGCGACAGCCTATATTGCGCTTGAATAGAACTAACTTTGAAATAAATGTAGAGATGACAGATTTGGCCTTAATAAGATTGACTTCATTTCCTTGCAACTGCAAATTCACTTCATTGAACTTTGTAAACAGTTCTGATAAATAAGCAATGTCATGCCTGATCTCTTTGAGTTCATCACTGAGCAAAGCATTCTTGCCTTCAAAAAACTCCACAACAGTGTCAAAGATTGTAAAAGCGTCTCAAACAGTTGCCTTTTGATAGCCAATGAACTTCTGTATGAAGCAGCAAATGATCACAATCTTCATCATTCTCAACACAGAGCTCTTGGAATAGTCGATCGTTGAGAGCATGTACTTTAATTTTGTTCACTGCAGTAATGAAAGTGTGTAATGACTTGTTCAAGCGATCACTGAGGGTTTTTGCAACCAGATATTGAATGACAGTGAATGGTAAAGACATTTGGCACTGCTTTTTTCAAGTAAGCAACACACCCATGGTAACAACCAGTCATTGTTGGTGCTCCATCAGTTGCACAAGCAAGAATGTTGGTTAGTGGAATTTCCTTGTCTTTGAAGAACTGCTCAACAACATGAAATATTGACTCCCCTTTAGAATCTGTATTTAGTTGCTTCGCAAATAACTTGAGTCAAACTTTTGTCTTTAATAAAGCGCACATAAGCAAGAAACAAAGATTCATTGCCTGGCAAAGTTGATTCATCCAGCTGTAATGCAAAGTCTGTTGTATGCTGCACAATACATCTTCCACATTCTCAGCCATTTCATCTATGCGTCTTTGAACTGAATTGTTGCTGAGAGGAATTGTCTTAATTATATCATGTGGTGACTTATGCAAAATAGTACTCAGAACTTCACTAATGGCTGGTAGGATGAGTTCTTCACCAATAGTATGTGGCTTTCCAGACTTAACAATCAGCAATGAAATGTTGTATAATGCACGCAAACCGTCAGTGTTTTGTTGGGAAGAATTAAAAAACATGTGAGACAGTGTTGGGCACTTTTGAAATTTGTCATGAAGTGATTGAAGAAAAGTTAGATTCTTGTCTGCCTTGTCAGGATGTTCCTTCTTCAAATGTTCGTTCAGTCTGGAAGTCTTCATTGCCTCATTAGAAAATACTTTCCCACATATTAGGCACTGTGGCAGCTGCTGGTTTGATGATGCTGGTATAAATCCATACTTCAGATACTCCACACTATATTGTCTACATTTCTTCTTTGATTTTTCTGCTTTTGCCATTTCTGCTCTGAAAATCAGAATATTTACAATATGTGTGTGTTCACATCTGGTTTGAAAAGAGTTACAGTTGCGGGGGGGGTAGTAGAAACCTGCTTTTTTAAACCAAATACAAGTGGTCCTTGCTTAATGGCCGGTTGCTTGGCAAGTGTCCTAATATTTATGACTGACCTCCCCAGAGCTACTTGACCTGTTTTGGAGTTTTGACAGCCATGTACACACATACACACATACTCCCTTATAACCGTGCTGGAGCAGGTCATTGGACTAGAATCAGCAAAGCATCTCTGATTAGATTCTAGTAGTGAATAGAATCTAATCAGAGATGCTTTGCCGATTCTTGTTCATTTGTTTTATGTCCGAGCGGAGCGGTGTACCAAATCAATGGGGTGAGCCTGAGAGAAGGAAAGAGAGAGAGAAAAGAAAGAGAGAGGGAAAGAGAGAGAGAGAAAAGAGAGAAGGAAGAAAAGGGAAAAGGGAAAGAAAGAAAAAGGGACAAAGAAAGAGTGGGGGATGGAGGGAGGGAAGGAGAGACAGAGACAGACAGAGAGACCTGATGCATCAGATTGAAATGAGGTCTAGTTTAGAGGCCCTTTCCCACATTGAAACATCTTTGCCAGCATCTTTGCCAGCACATTGAAACATCTTTGGCTTCTATTAATTAAAGGTTTTGTGGACGAAACATGGCCAAGACTATCACCTCCCTCCCTCCTTCTTTATTTCTTTTTCTTTCCGTCCCTTCCATCCCCCCCTTTCTTTGCCCATTTTCTTTCTGTCCCTTTTCTCTTTCTTTTCTTTCTCTCTCTCTCTTTCCCTCTCTCAGGTTCACTCCATTGACTGCTGCATGCTCCGTTGCAAGGGGCTTAGTGGGGTGAGCCTGCGGGGGCCTCGCCTTGAACGCAGCTGTGGCGGGACGTTTGGAAAGGAGAGCAAAGCCACTCTGGCTTTCCTCCCCTTTTCAAACATCTCGCCGCCACTGCATTCAAGGCAGGCACATCGGGAAAGTGGAGGAAAGCCAGAATGGTTTTGCTCCCCTTTTCAAACATCCCACTGCTGCTGCGTTCAAGGCAGGCATGTCAGGAAAGTGGAGAAAATCCAGAGTGGTTTTGCTCCCCTTTTCAAACATCCCATTGCTGCTGCATTCAAGGCAGGCATGTTGGGAAAGCAGAGAAAATCCAGAAGGCACGTCGGGAAAGCAGAGGAAAGCCAGAATGGTTTTGCTCCCCTTTTCAAACATCCCGCCGCCGTTGCATTTGAGGAGAGGCCCTGCAGGCTCACCCAATTGACTGCTGCACACTCCAATGCAAGGGGCTCAATGGGGTGACCTGCGGGGCCTCACCTTGAACGCAGCAGCAGTGGGACGTTTGAAAAGGAGAGGAAAGCCGCTCTGGCTTTCCTCCACTCCCGCCGCCACTGCGTTCGAGGCAGGCACATCGGGAAAGTGGAGGAAAGCTGGAGTGGGCTTGCAGAGTGTAACTCACCTAGATCAGATGGTGGTAGGCAGGCAGGGCAGGCTGGCTGGCTGGTGCTGGTAGCGATGGCGGGCGGGAAAATGGGAAATGAGCACACATGTGCTTCATAAGGAGTGACTAGGTGGTGCGGGCAGGAAATGCTGTCAGCAATTGTTGCGCATGCGTGCAATGTCACACATACGCAATAAGGACTGACAACAGGAAATGGAGGAGCGGGCGGAGGAGGCAGGGCCAGCCAGGTGCCCTTTTTGCCAATTCTTCAACCTACTGGAACGGTAACAACCAGTTCTTGCGAACTGGTAATATCTCACCCCTGAATTGTGCCGTGCGAGGGGCCCATCTCCAGTACCCCCTTGCCGCCTCTTAGCACCCCCCTGCCGGCCTCCTTGCCTCTTACCACCCCCATAAGTCATCTCACCGCCCCCCAGGGGGCAGTACCGCCCACTTTGGGAACCACTGATGTATGTTCAGAACAAAGTACATGCTTTCATTTTCAGGCTATCATTGCTCTAATAATAGAATTGTATAACAAACCTATTTTTCCAATTATATAACTATGAGGTATTGACACAACATTTTAGTAATGGAAGGCTGTAACTGTGGTAATAAAATTCATTTGTAAACATTAAAGTAGCATTGCAGTAGATTTTATAGTTACTTATTTTCAGTATTTTTAAATTGTTTTAGAAACACCAAAGAAATATCCAGATATAATTTATCCAAATAACAACTCAATTGAAGTAAAACCAGGTAAGTAATTACTTCACTTGAAAAAGAAACCATTTTTAATAGTCCTAGGCAAACTCACTATAATTATTTGTGATTTGCAGGTTCCAGATTTGACCTGATATGTAATGTCTCAGCAGATCCTCTGGATAAAATGGTAATTGTAACCTGGATGTTCGATAATGAGATATTAAACACAAATGAGAAGGTTCAGTAAGTACAATATGTTGTTTTTCTAGGGGGTTCCAGATTATTACATTTTCACTCAATGCTGTGGTATTAGATATTTACATAAATATGAGGCAAGCCTCACTGTGAAATAAATTTATTTAGCTTGTTGATTTAGTAATAGTGCACCAATGTACAATACTAATAGGAATTCCTAAAATGTACTTCTTAGTGCTTTCCAGACATTTTATAGTCAAATGGAGGTATCTATCTTGAGGATCTGAGTATTTATTCCAGCAGATAACAAGCTTTTGTATTTTTAAACTCTGTATCTGGCATATTTTTTCAGTTGAAATCTGCATGTTTTCTGTGAATTTCTGAGGTTTTGTGAAGCTATTTAGTTTTAGGCAATAGGTGCACTGTTGCCACAAGAGTAGATATGGTAGTATTAAACAGATATATTTAATTAAAATATATTAATGTTTCTTCTATTACATTATCCTGATATTCTTATGCCACAGTAAATCTTGGTAACTAAGTGCTGTATATGAGTGAAACAAAAGCTGAGACTTTGTTAGGCAAATGACAAGATCTAAATTTCTATGTCGAGTACATTTAACTTAATTTAAATGTGTTCAAATTAAGACACTGAGCATTACCCAATTTATACAAATCAATATAATTTTCCTTAATTATTTTCTTCTTTTCTTTTTCTGTTTATATTTTCTTTTGGTGTTGTTAGGTTTCTTTCTGGAAAACAAATAATAGAAGTAAAATTAAACATTTCCAAAGTGAAAGACAGGGATTATGGAAAATATTTGTGTGAAGTATGGTCTGAACGTGTGATACAAGTAGCATATGTAATGCTAAACTATCCAGGTAACTTTATGTATAAGTCTATAAAGTTATGTATATCTTTTACATACCTAAAAGTATGTTTACATAATGTAGAGAAAAGGTGCTTTGCTTGTTCATAAAGACAAACAAACATCCATGAGAATTTTGCTAATCTTTATGTACTCTATGAAACACATTTTTTTTTCTTTTTGAGGAGGATGAGATTCCGAAGTTTCATATAATATTAGATCATGCTCAGGATGGACACAGTAGACTTGTACTTATTCTAATCTAGAAATAGTCATTGACCCCAAATGGCAAATGACCATATAACCATTTAAAATAATGGATTATATTTTATTACATTATGGATACTGTATGTAAATAAAAAACATTATTTGGAAAAATATTGCTGAGATATTTTCATCTTGTAAAGCTCTGCTTAGTTCCATAGTCTAATGGGAAAATATGTCACTATTTCAAAAAAGAAAGCAAGTGTTGACACTTGTTCTATCTAGAAATACTTGGGGTAGACTAGGAAGGCTAGATAAGTCAGAATTGGATAATGTTACTAGAGGTTATTGCTAGTGCTTTCCACCAGTGACATTCAGTTGGCTTTCTAAGTGGACCTGCTGTTCTGTAAGAAGATAATGCTCATGAAAATGCCTAGAGGACAGATTAAATGAAGAAGTTGGCTTTGTATGCCTGTTTGAACGAATTCTCCACCCAAGGTCACATCAATATCAACCTAGAAAGTTTTTTGGAGTTTGATGATATCAGGGTTCCCTTCCTATAGAAAGTGATTGATACAACTGCTAATGGACTGAAAGATTCATTTTGCTATTGACTTTGAAATGGTATTCTGCTTTTGTTATTTTATTTTTATATCATTTATAAATCTTTTTGAGACTGAATGACCTATCATTTACAAGAATAAATAAACTTTAAAAGCTATAATGAAAAGTAATGAAGCATCATCATCTTAATCATCTTCATTTTGGCAATAAAATGTGTTATTTGGATAATCTTCAGACATTAGAAGCCCCTTGTCAAAAGAATGAAATATTTTATGAGAATTTGCTTAGAAAAATGAAAATAAAATAGAAATAGTATAAATTGCTCATCTTATAAACATCTTGTGGCACTTACTAAGAATGTTCTTCTCTTCTCTTCTCTTCTCTTCTCTTCTCTTCTCTTCTCTTCTCTTCTCTTC